ATTGTTGGTTGCAATCATACCATTACTGTTACTACTGATGTCAAGTATTGTATTAATATGTGATTTATTATTTATTACAACAATATTTCCTATTTTGCTTTATTTGTTATTCAGTAAAATTAATTCAATTAATAATAGTTTGCTAAACACATTAACTAAAAAATCAAATGTTATGGATATATATGAGAGCACTGATAGATATATTGTACAACACAATCATTATTGTCATATTCTTAATAGTAATAACAAATTGGTGGCAAAATTACAGTTAATTATAATGTTTTGTTTTATGCCATTCAATCTATTGTGTTGGCATAAAGTGTTTTTTGAAAACATTCATTTAATTTTAAAAATATCAATACTAGTCGAGACATTGTGTAGTATGGTTTGTATTTTTTTAGTTTATTTTATTGTCGCAGATTTATCACATAAATTGCATAAAATGTGTAAACCGTTAGCTCGTATTCAATGGCGTATAAAGCGGTGGCCATTTAGTGGACGATTTAAACTACAATTAATGTCATATTTTGAACGACTGTCGAGTAATAGACGAATCGGTTTGAATTTGGGACCGTTTGGTGCCATAACTTTCCCAATGTTTCAATTGGTTTGTTTTTATAGTTATATAATAAAATTGATGTTAAAAATTATTTTATCATAAATTAAATATATTATTCTTTATTTAGATTGTTGTAAAATATGTGCGATATTTTATATTAGTACACAAATTATCGGCAAATTTTTCCATTAATAACAATTAAAATACTGTTTTATTTAAAAGACTGTATTATTAAAAATAATTTAAGTTTTAAATTTTTATAATTTTTAATTACATCAATTGTATTAATATATTTATAAATGTTCTTTATTTAAGATTTCTTTTATTAAAATTATTTTATTATTATATCTGACTTATTATTAGTTAAACATGTGTTTTTAAAAATCAATATTTTTTAATTAATTAATAAAATTTCAATAATTATTTATAATGATAACACCTAATTTTGATCACTGATATATATACTAATTAGTATTAAAATTAGTATTATTATTTTTATAAAAATAATCTTAACTACATAAAAATTTAGTTTTATTTAGTTTTTAGTATTTTTAGTATTTTTAGTATTTTTAGTATTTTTAGTATTTTTAGTATTTTTAGTATTTTTAGTATTTTTAGTATTTTTAGTATTTTTAGTATTTTTAGTATTTTTAGTATTTTTAGTATTTTTAGTATTTTTAGTATTTTTAGTATTTAGTTTTAGTTTATTTTTAAAGTATTAGTATTTTTAGTATTTTTTAAAAATTAGTATTTTTGTATAGTATTTAAGTTTATTTAAGTTAAAAATTAATTGATTAAATATTTAATATAATTATTTTTAAAAATAGATAATTATTATAAGATAATTTTAAATGTAAATTAATTATGAGTCCAAATGTTTCCAAATATTTATATATTTAATTTATATTATATTTTAATTGACATTTAAACTAATATTTATGTATAAATAAGATATTATAATTAAAAACTGAATTCAACTAAGCATATTAATATAGTTTGTTGTTTTAAATTTATATTTTCTAAAATTAATTATTTAATTCATTTTATTATAATAAGTCGTCCAAATTATTTATTTATTAAATTACAAAAATTTCTACAATTTATGCATTGTATTGATTTAGACGTCTTAAATGGATTATTCAAATTTATCACAAAACTAATCAATGGTTTGTTTTAGCTAATAGTTTAAATTAAAATAATTTTACGTCTATCGTTACTATCATATATCTAATTTATTTTAAAATATAATAATTTTTCTTTAATTAATTAAATTTTATTTTATTGAAATAATATTTATTTCTATAAATAATATTTTTTATGTCTATCAATATTATATTTAACTTTATTTTTTAATTAAATAGAAAGTTGAGTTAAACAAGTATTCATAAAATTATATGAAAATAGATTATAAAACCTTTATATTACTTATAAACTTATATTACTTTACTTAACATATCATAATATTTCATTAGTTCACAAAGTGAGAAAATATCTGTATATTAATATTACATTATTTTTATTAAATTAACGCAAATGTTTCAGCAAATATTTCAGCAAATTTGCCAAATTATTAGATATATAGTTAACCTATATTTATCGACAATTACTCGAAAACTTATTTATCAAAATAAGTCAACTTTGTTTGAAAACTTTATATATCTATGTTTTGTATTCAATATAATTAAATGTCTGATTTGTATGACTGCCACACATGAAACACGTCTACTATCATATGATTTTACATTAAACATCGGTGGTCTCGACCAATATAACCAAATGTCTGTATTATTAATCTTAATAATGGCTACAATATTATACCATAGTTTACATTATAACTATGATAGACATTCAATGAGTTGGATTAAATTGTTTGTCATTATTTCAGATCCAATTGCTTTAAAACTATTCAAAATACAAATCAAAACCAAAGTTTACAATAATAGTAATAAATTTTTAAATCATTTTTGCAATGATATTGAAATGCTAATCAAATCAAGTCTTTTAACAAAATTTATATTATTGCAAATTCTCTCCTCGTATACATTTACTGGTAATTATTTTTTAAAAATTTTGATACATTAAACGTTATAAATTTTGTTTGCTTATAAATATTGTTTATAATTTATATGAGTATCTTATTTAATTAATCTAAGTAATTTTCATAAATATAATTATTAATTTTTTTAATTATTTACATTTTTTTATTAAGTTTTTAAAATTTAAAATTTAATAACTTTTTTAATATCATTATATATTTATATGAATTTATTTTATTAATATATATAGCAATGATTGGATTTTTCTATATATTTGTAATACCGTTATATTATTATAATAATTGGACACAAATTTATGTGGCAATCATACCTTTATTACTACTGTTGATGATATCAATTGTTTTTCTAAGCGATTTAGCATTTATTGCCACAACAATTCCTGTTGTATTTTATTTGCTGTTTAGTAAAATAAATAATATCAATAAAATGTTAATGAATTCACTTAATAAAAATTCAAGTATTTATGAGATAACCGGTAGATATATTGTCGAACACAACAATTATTGTCATATTTTGAATACTAATAATAAATTTGTAGCTAAACTACAGTTTATTGAATTGTTTTGTTTGGTACCATTCAATCTGTTATGTTGGCATCAAATACTGTTTGAAAATATAATGATTATTTTAAAATTATCACTACTAATGCTAGCCTTAGGCAATATGTTTGTTATATTTTTCTTTAGCTTTATAGTCGCCTATTTGTCCTACAAATTGCATTCAATGTGCAAACCATTAGCACGTATTCAGTGGCGTTTAAAGCGGTGGCCAATTAGTGGACGATTTAAACTACAATTAATGACATATTTTGAACGCCTGTCAAGTAATAGACGAATCGGTTTAAATGTTGGACCGTTTGGTGCCATAACTTTCCCAATCTTTCAAACGGTTTGATATTATTATTATTTACATAATATATAAATATATAAAATATTTATTTATATAATAATTTATTTTAATTTTAGATTTTTATAACATATGTAAGATTTTTCATTTTAGTTCATAAATTTGCTTCAAAGATCTGATTCGATTGAATTGAATAAAAAATTAATGAAATGTTAAAAATAAAATTTTTGTTATTTTATAATTTCATTATAAAATTATCACATAATAATAATAATGTTTATTTATTATTCTAAATTTATATAAATGTTTTATAATTATTTAAATAATTTTTATATACTTTTTATTGTTTTAATGCAATATACTATACCATAAACAATTGGTGTCTAAATTACAGTTTATTAAATTGTTATGTTTATTGCCATTCAATCTATTGTGTTGACATCAGATGTTGTTTGAAAACATTTTAATTCAGATAAAAATTATTATAATATTTTTAGCCATAATTATAATTTGTCATTTATGTGTACATACATGTCCTATAAATTGCATTTAATGTGCAAACCATTAGCACATATTCAATGGCGTATAAATGGGTAGCCATTTGACTAGAGATTTAAACTACAATTAATGTCATATTTTGAATACCTATCGAGTAATAGAAAGGTTGGTATAAATGTGGGACTGTTTTGTGCCATAAGTTTCCTAATTTTTCAAATGGTTAGTCATATTTAATATTAATAAATGAATTAATTTTTAATATTATTTGTTGAATGTCTTAATATTATTGTAAAATATGTGCAATATTTTCTATTTCATAAATTAACAACAAAAATATGTAATTAAATTTGACTCAAATTAAAAATTATTATTTAGTTTTATTGTAAAATTACATGAATGTTTACTACGGTATTTAAATTATTATTATTATATGTATAATTTTTATAAAAACTATGATGTAAGTTATATTTAAATAATAAGCAATTTTCACAATTTGTTACATTTTTTTATTTTAAACATATATTTTATATATATTGAATTAAAGATAGCTATTTATCTTTACCAGTAATAATTAATATATAATATTATAAACTTGCATTAAATGTTAAGTCAGTATTATTAATCAATATTATTTACTGATAAAACAATGTAAAAATTAATAAATACCATAAATGGTAATTTTTTTATATTAGCTCAATTAACACAATAAAAATTATTAATCTCTATTTGACCTTATATTGTATATTTATAATTTAATTGATTAATTGATACCTGTATTACTAATAATAAAAAATGTATCATAAGTACTTGTATAATGCAATAATTGTTTATAAAAACAATATAAAATTTTAACTTTTTAATTTGTAATTTTTAAATTTAGCAAATAAATTAACTTTTAAGTTACTAAACTATTTATTATTATAAATATCTAAATTCTTTTATATTTGTTATAATGTCAAATAAATCTACTGTTAATATAATATTATTTATAATTTTTCAAACATTACTATTCTATTATAATTATATTAACTGTATTGAAGTCAATACAACATCGGGTTTAGTGAGAGGACAAACATTGCATATCAATAATAGTGTATTAGTGGGAAAAGTTGACCAATTTCTTGGTATACCATATGCCGTACCACCGATTGGTGAGTTAAGGTTTGCTAAACCACTGCCAATCACTACACCGGCAAAGGTATTATTGATTCAAAAATTTTATTATCAATTAATTATTAAGAATTAAAAAATATATTGATTTTGTTAACTAAATTAATTTATAGAAACTGATCGACGCTACTAAACCAGGGTTTATATGTATGCAAATATATGCGGAAAATTTGATTAAAATTTATGGAAATTTTAGCTCACGTGAGGACTGTTTAACATTAAGCATATGGACAACAAACCGAGAGAAATCAAAGTTAAAGCCAGTTATGTTTTGGATATACGGCGGAGCGTTTACTAGCGGCTCAACATTTGCACCCATTTATAACGGTTCGGCACTGGCCATACATGATGTGGTTGTTGTGTCCGTAAACTATAGATTAGGTATATTTGGGTTTATATTTGGTGATCGAGAGGACGCTCCGGGAAATGTGGGTTTGTTTGACCAACAATTGGCGCTCCGTTGGTTGAGAGATAACATACATCAGTTTGGTGGCAATAGAGATCAGATAACTATATTTGGCGAATCGGCCGGTAGTTGGTCTGTCTCGGATCACATACTGTCACCGCTATCTAAGGGACTATTCAGGAGAGCTATTATGCAAAGCGGTGCACAAATGCATTACAAAGTTAGGCAAACTGTTAATACAACGGAAAACCTATTAATTGGCAAACAATTAGCCAAAGATTTTAATTGTAGCGATAGTGAGGATTGGATTCACTGTTTAAGGAAAGTCGACTCGAAATTGTTGGTCAATAAAACAATACAATTATTGTTTCCTTTAGAGAGCACACAGTTTTTGCCAATTTCTGCAATCGAGGCGTTCAAACAAAATAAGTTTAATTCAGGTTATTATTTAATTAACTAATAAAACTAATTTCAGATAACTATGATTTTTTTTATATATGAAATTTATATCTCAATTTTAGATATAGATTTAATTGCTGGTATTAACAGAGATGAGGGACAAATTGCATTGTTTAATAACATTTCAATGACAGTCGATTTGTTTAATTTAATGCTAAAACAATATCAACAACAATATCACGGCTTTGATGTCCAAAAAGTGTCCGACTTTTACCTAAAAGGTATCAACAAAACAAGTTCAGAATCATTGAAGCGAGCATTGGGTGATATAATGGGCGACTTATTGTTGAAATGTCCGACATATATGTTTGCCAAACAAGTGGCCAAACTTGTGAACCCCAACAATAATGTGTACTTCTATGAGCTGACATACATGAGCCAGTATTTTGGTAAACTAATGAATTGCGATCCCAAGAAACAGGGCATATGTCACGGACAGGACCTGCCCATAGTGTTTGGCTTACCATTACTAACACCTGAACTATACTCATCAGAAGATATATTATTCAGTCGTGAAGTACAACAAATGTGGACTAATTTCGCAAAGAATGGGTAATTGAATGCACGAAAAAAAACATTACTAATGTTATCAATAGATTACGGGTAATAAAATTTTTTTCTTTCATAGCGTTCCTCATACTCGATGGCCTAAACTATTAAGTGATCCAATGGTCAACAGTACTATCAAAGACTTGAATCCCGTAAATGAGACCAAAATATTTCATCATCTCTTTGACCAAACGTGTGATAGTTTTTGGTATAATTATTATCTTTAAATAAATTGATTAAATAGAAAATTTTATATTTTAATAACATTATTATATGTATATTAATATTTAAAACTTTTGTATACACATTTTATCTATAAAATAACTACATTTATTTAAATATAAATCAAATTTTGTTATCACTTACTCAATAAATTATTTTATAATCAACTGATTAATTTATAATTTTTGTCAAATCTATTTTTTAATATTTAATTACTAAATGCAATTAATACAAACATTATATAAAAAAATTTTAAATTACTGTCAGTTTTATATTTACGGTAATATATGAAATGTATATCTTATATTATTATAATTTAAAAATCCTATGAAAACAAAATACTAAAAATATATGCTGTATTTTATAAATAATTAGTAAAAATAACCTATCACAATTTTTTTAATTGAATATACTGCATCAATTATGAAAACAAATACTGTAGGAGTTTAATGTTCAAAAAAATGTAAAAATAATATAATATTTTGATACATTGAAAACACAAAAAAAATATAAAAATGATTTACATCTAAAAATATATAATATATATAAATTGATACAGATTTACATAATATCAACATAACTATCATCTATAAGATATACATTATGTGATAACTAAATACAACAAATATTTAATTCAAACAACTAATAAATTTTAATCATATTATTATTATCATTCGTAAATTTTTTGCTGATACATACATTAATAGCATCGGCCATATAATTACCATTGAGATCCGCGGTCATAAGCTGATCGCAAGTGGACACCAATTGATGGACAATTAGCTCAAACACAGAGTTGGTATTGTTATAACCAATTATATGACTTTTCAATGTATTACACAATTGACAAAACAATTTGATTGAATAGCTTTGCAAAACATTGTTTAAACAATCAATAGATAGCTCCAAGAGTTGACGATTGGTGTCGTTGTAGATGTTTCCGTACAACCGGATCAATGATAAGATTGATAACAACAAGTAATTGCAGACTTGACCACAATTTTCTGTATCGGTGATCGACAATAACTTTAGACATAGTTTGTTAGTTAAAGTGATTGCCGCAAGTTTTACTTCAATGTCTTTGTTGTTGTTGTGAGACATGATATATACTAAAGTTTGTGATAAATTAATTACAAGATTATCGCTAAAAATCTGAAAAAAATCTGTATTGCAATCAATCATTTCAGTGAAAAGCTTAAGTATTGCCATCACAGCATCCAACTGATGATTAGTGGTCATGGATGAGACCAGTAATGTCAACAATTGCTGACCGTATTTGTAAACCAATCGTTGTTTGATGCTGTTGTCGCCGCTGACGGCAATAGTGGTAACGCATTTGAAGGCCGCGTCGATTACTTTGGCGTCGGGACAGCGGAACAATTGAAAGACTAGAGCGAGTAGTTTGTCGGCAAAAAGAGTTTCTGGTTTAATGGCAAAAAGACTAAGAAATCGACTAAAACGGCATAACAGGTCTCGGGTCTCGTCGGTAACGTTGTCCACAAACATTGTTAGCGGTTTGTTTGAGCGCTTCAGATCCAATGTCTTGTCTCTGGAGCGCCACTTAAGAGATTCAATTCGTTGACTAATAACAGGTATGACTGACCCAATAATGTCATTATCACCGGATGTCATCTCGTAATAGGCATCCAGAAGTTGCAATGACTGGTCAACAAGCAGTGCATTTGCCGATGAAATAGTGGTAATCAATGTCTTTAGCATTTGTGATGACATTATATTTGCAATAAACTGTTTGCTTATTGAATAGTATCGGATCAGATGATCGTAGATTTTTAAGATATTTTGCTATAAAATAAAGTTTTAATTATAATTAAAAAATTAATAATTATTAGTATTTTTAGGATTATTACCTTAATTGAGATGCAAGTAATAGATCCGATCAAAGACATCAAATGATTAATGAACTCGACGTCGAAAAACTGATTGTCAACTACAAGATCACTGTTTTCGTTGTCATAGATAACAGTATCGATCAGATTTAAGACCCAATCGGTGGTTGACTTTAACAGACGAGTGTCGTTAGCTGTCTTTAGCTGACAGATAACAATCTGTTGATTTGTTGGACATCTGTAATCATTGGCTGGAATATCGCCATCGATAATATTAGTGATAATTTGATGGTAATCATCGCCATCATCATCAACATCATAGTTAGTCCAGTTGTCAACTTTAAAGCGACGTTTTTCCAGATGTCTGTATCTCATCTCCTTTTGCCACTCGAGTCGTGTCCGACACTTGACATCACTTGACTTCACTAGTTGTTGTCTATTACTTCTTGAGATAGTTGCTGATACCATCATTAACTGTATAAATATCAATCAATTGACAACAAATCAACTAAAAATATTACCGATAATTCATATTTAAAATTTAAAAATAAAATAGTTTTTTCATCAAAAGTTCAATGAAATTGTCTTTACATACCATTGAATGTGAACTTCAATGAAGAGGAAGTTTTAACAGATTGTGAATCTGAAGCAAATGATAGACCAAACAAAAAATGACAAGAAATGAGTTATATTTTTATTTGTATTTAATATATCAATAGAGAGAGTGAATGGCTTTTACTATTATTTAATTGTTAATTCATATTAACAGTATAATTGAGGACAGTATGTAAAAGCTCAGACAGCTTTGTGAGATACCAGTGCATGTGTGAGAAAAAGTTTTTCATTATTCAAAGCTGGGATTCATATGCTAATTAAATAATACTAAATACTATATATAATAAATACATTATTTTCACACACACTGTACTCTACTGTAAATTATATGCCATACAAACTATAATAAATATTGGTTATACATCTACTGTAATCCAATACTTTTATTTATTAAATAAATAAATAAAATTAAAACTTAATACTATGTGACGCCAATAGGATTTATTCATAGGTTTACTCTAATTTCAAGTCATTGTATTGCAAATTGCAATACAAAACTATACTATAGTACAGTACATTGTATAAGTTAGACATTGAATCAATTGAAAATAACATTAAAATAATAAATATAAAATACAATAAATAAATCTAATTAGTAATAAATGTCTAAAATTAAAGTCCTAACTTATGACTGTTAGCTATAACTGAATATACTTTAAATTAATATTAAAGTATAAAATGTTTGCCGATTTGAAATGAAATATTAATTATTAGTAAAATGTTTCAATTACTGTTAAATAGGAAACCATAAAAACATGAAATTAAATATTATAAAGCAACAGATTTTATAAAACATTTAGTTATTGTTTGAAACATAGCTTCAAATTAGTCTATTGTAATTTTAACTTATTAATGTCAATTAATTAAAAATAATTAAAACTAAAACATTTACACTTTAAATAGTAAATCAGATAAAATGTAATAAATAATTAAATTAAGTGTTTGGAACTTTGAATATTAAATTTATTGAAATAAAAAAATATAAGAAAAAATAAAGCTTGAGTTTAGGCCAAAAAAATAATTGCAAAAAATTGTTTATTATATATTAAAATATCCTAATAATAGTATAATTAAGTAAACTATTAATTCATGTATCAATCGCGAGATAACTTGAATCACAAATAGTATTTGAAAATATCTAATAAAATTAGTCTAAATTATATTTAAATTATTTGATGCTTTTATTTCTTTGCTATACTAAACAAAAAATATATTTTTTAATTCAATTTATTTGCAAAACCAAACTAATGACCGAGTTTTATAAATACCGTAACAATGAATGCATTTGTAATAAAATAATTAAATGTAGTGTTAATACCAACAATAGCGACGGCGACGACAACAACAATAGCGGCAACAATACAGTATATTATGTTACGGTAACCGCTGGCGGTCACCGACACAAAACTGGTGGCAACATAACATGTTCGCCGAAGACACGGCCAGGTATCGAGTGTCCCAATTGTCATCTGCAAAGAGCGGCCGATAGGGTTACCGATGATGACCAGGAAATGAAGATCTGGTGTCGCACCAGTTGGGAGACAACGAAACGCAAGATCCGCTTATATAGGTATCATATTGTGGCCAACTGTCTGAAGCCGGCATCTCAGGACCCGAGCTGTTGGCTGACCTGTTGCTGGTGTGTCTTCTGTCTGTTTCCTCGATGTTTTCAATGAGAAAAAATACGATACAAAACAAATAATTAATATTTAATTAATATTTTTTGTTTTTTGGCTAAATTTATTATATTTTATAATATTTTTTATTCAAATCTGTAATTATTATAATTTTATAGACATTAACTTTTTTTGATTGTAGTATTAATTAAAAAAACAAATCAGTATTAAGTTTAATAAAAATGTTATTTATTAGAAAATATTTTTTACATTTATATACAATATGTGACTCATATAATGTGAAAGTATATTTATCCCATAACTAAATTGATTTAAACTAATGGTGAATGAGTGGGTGTATCCTAGGTTTTGACCAATTAAATAAAACTAAAAACTTAGAAATATTATATATTAATATTTTAAAATTTAAATAATAGTCAAAGATTAAGAATATAGTAAATAAATTATTTTATCATCTTTTTTATATAACATGCGTGAAAATTATTTGTAATCTTATATACTGTAATCAATTTTAGTACTTTTAGTCATTTTTGTATATAATGTATTTAATATCTGTATTGAAAATTCATTATAAATATAGTATACTCATATAATATATCTAAACATTTACAATAGATAAATAGGTGACCTTGGTAATCAATCAATTTTATTAAAAAAATTATTGCACTTTTAATAGAATATAATAAAATAATAAACATCATTAAGTTTAAATAGAGTTAAATATTGTATATAAATTTGTAATTATTTATTTAAAAAAACTGTCAACAGCAATGTATACTTTAGTTAATTTATTTTTAGTATTTTTAATTTTAAATATCTATTATATTAATTGTATTGATATTAATACAACATCGGGTATAGTTAGAGGACTAACTTTACATATAAAAAATAGTGTATTAGAGGAAAATGTTGACCAATTTCTAGGTATACCATATGCCGTACCACCGATTGGTGAGTTAAGGTTTGCTAAACCACTGCCAATCACTACACCGGCAAAAGTAATAGTAATTCAATTAATTACTTTTTTTAAATCATGAATTAATAGTATAATTAATTATATTAGGATATAATTGATGCAACAAAAACTAAGTACTGGTGTATGCAAAGCATTAATGATAATATGCGATCAGTTTATGGCATATTTAATACTAGTGAAGATTGTCTGACATTAAACATATGGCGAAAAAACGACATGAGCTCCACATTAAAACCAGTTATGTTTTGGATACACGGCGGCGGGTTTATTGCAGGTTCAAGTTTAGCACCCATTTATAATGGATCAGTACTGGCCATCAATGATGTAGTGGTTGTCTCTGCAAACTACAGATTAGGGGTATTCGGGTTTACTTTTGGTGATCGAGAGGACGCTCCGGGAAACGTTGCTCTGTTTGACCAATTGTTAGCATTGAAATGGGTTAGAGATAACATTCATAAGTTTGGTGGCGATAGAGATAGTATCACTATATTTGGTGAAAGTGCCGGCAGTATGTCTGTATCGGCACACATCCTGTCACCGCTATCTAAGGGATTATTTAAGAGAGCTATTATGCAAAGCGGCGCACATATGTTTAATAAGGACAGGGATGTTATCACTAAAACCGATGCCATTCATTATGGAAAACAAATGGCTAAAGATTTCAAGTGCACCGATAGTGACAATTGGATACAATGTTTAAGAAAAGTCGATAAAAATGAATTGACAAAAAAGTTTCAGTTAATTACTAGAGCAGTAGTGGGCACTCAGTTTTTACCACTTTCCACGAGTCAGGCATTTAAACAAAATAAGTTTAATTCAGGTATTTATTGTTGAAAAAATATATTAATAGCTATCTATTAAATTAATTTTTATAAAATTGTTATATTTTATGACACTTTATAAACTTTTTATCACACATACTATAGAAATTGATATAATTGCTGGCATTAATCGCAATGAGGGACACACCTATTATGAGGAACAGTTCACTATTGATGTGTTTATGAAATATTTGCATAATATTGACAAAGAATTTCACGGTTTTGATCTCCAAAAAGTGGCCGACTTTTATCTGATAGGTGTCGACAAAACAAATTCAGATTCATTGAAACGATCGTTGGATGAGTTTATCGGTGATGCTCTACTCAAGTGTCCGACCTATTTGTTTGCTAAACAAGTAGCTAAACGTGTGAACATTGAACATAATAAGGCATTTTTCTATGAGCTTACATATATGAGCCAGTTTTTCGGTAAAATATCTAATTGTGAGCCCAGTCAAATTGCTATTTGTCATTTAGAGGACCTACCGTTTGTGTTTGGCCTACCATTGCTATCACCTGAACTTTATACACAACAAGACATAGTGTTCAGCAGACAAGTACAGCAATTATGGACTGATTTTGCAAAGATTGGGTATTTTATAAACTTTTTAAATAATTTTTTTTTAAATATTAAATAAAAAAATTTGGTTTATTTTACGCTAATTTTTAGTAAACCTCATCATCAATGGCCACAATTATTGACAACAAATACAACATTTAACAGTAGAGTAAAAGACTTGAATCCCATAAATAAGACTAAAATATTTGATCATCTCTTTGATAAAACTTGTGATACGTTTTGGTATAATTATTATTTATAAATAAATTTAATTCAAATTTAAAAGAAACAAAAATTTCATCACTAAACTTGTACTGAATTATAAAAAAATAATAATTAAATATTGTTATTTATTTATTAATAAAATGCATTTTATTTATTATTATCAATAATATCATACAATCTACCGATAGTACAGTACAGTATATTTTAGATAAAGTATAATAAATAAGGTTTTATAACTAAATATTATTTATTGAGTCACTTCTAAAATTATTACTACATTATTAATACTAAAATAGTTTCAATAATAATAATTTCAAATATAAGAGACATTTTGATTACATAATAAACATTTATTAAAAACAAAATTTTCAAATATTATTCAATAATGTTTTATGATTTTGTTGAACAATAATGTACTGATGAATGTATTTATTTTCAAATAAAAATTAGTACAAAAATAATGGACTAGTTTTTAAAAACAGATAATTTTGCAAAAGTAAAATAATAATAATATTAAGATAACTGATTAATAAATTTTCAAAAACTTTAGATAATTTTAAAGCAATTTTTCTCAATCATAAACTGATAGCCCGTTATGTCGGTGTGTTTGAGACAATTGCACAGTTGTTTACTACCATTACTAAGATTATAGGCGCCCAACACTTGACCACACTTTTGACAATTCAGGTGCTGATCGCCAATATTCAACGGTAACATCCATTTCTGTGGCTCGATGTAGATATTACCACAAGATTTGGCCACTTTGTCGTTGTTGTTGTTGACATAGCTGTCAATTAGCTGTAGATTTTCAATGACATGAATTTCTTGACAAATCAATTGATTGCATTTCAAGCACTGGTATTGTCGTCCAACACTAGAGGCGTCTAATTTGACAAGACTTTCGATGTAATCCCTGCGCTTGAAATACTTATCCAATTGTGTCCAATAGTGTTCAACATTACTATCGGCGAGCATACGATCGTAAACAAAGCGGCGATACCTTTTATTTTTGGCGTTTAACTGATTGCCCATCTCTTCATACAACCGGAGCTGATCTCTGAATCCAATGTTTGGTGAAATGAACGGCCGTTTAATGCGAACCATATCCAGTGCCTCAACAAATGGTTTGTCGTATTTGTTCATCAGATAGGCTGTAACTACTGTTGAACTTCGGGATATACCGGCGTGACAGTGAACCAGAACATTGTGACCATTTGTCTGTCCGTCGGCTATAACATTTCGGGTCACTTCAAAGTGTGACAGCAGATCTTCTTCGGGCATATCATTGAGTTTAATATGAAAGTACTCGATGTTTGTGTGTCTTTTCCAGTCGGGTATCGGTGTGTCTGTAATAGTCAATACTCGGCGTATCTTATGAGTGGCCAGTATCTGCTGGTCAGTGGCTGAGTGCCAATTACCAAGATATAGATGATCTTCAATTTGATGCAATGGTTCCCATGTATTGGTCGTAATATCGGTGCTCTCTTCTCTCAAACTCATGGTTTCACACTTATAGCTAATAATTTTCGTATATTTTTGAACTTTTCCTAATATTAATACATTATTTAAAAATTTAAATAAATTTATCATTATATCTACAATATTTTGTTGGTTCTGTTAAAATATAGTTGAAAACATGTTTATTGTTGTAATTACTAAACGCACGTGAAATAAATGTATTTTTTATATAACATTTTATAGTCATATCATAATATTAATTAATAATTATCTTATATCACACCTCCCGCCCATTTTTACTACAAACACAATAAAATATTAAAAATTATTGCATAATAAAAGTTAAATAAAAATCAATTATCTTATAAATAATACAATAATTTTGTTGTAAATGCAAGTAACAAATGTTTTATTAATATTAGAAAATTTATTTTATTTAAATTATAATTTATAACTTATTAATAATAAGTTATTATAAGTTATAATTGAATAGTAATTTTAAATATTATAATTTTTCCAAAAGCCATCACATGTTTGATCCAACAGATGATCAAAAGTTTTGATAATATTATTGGGACTCAAATCAAGAATATGCCAGACATTTGGTGTACTATTATTCAATAATTTCGGCCAATTCAGGTCCGCAATACTATAAAAAAATTAATATAATATTTTTTATAACTTAAATTTTAATGTATTTTTTAATAATAATTATACCCAGTCTTCGCAAAGTTTGTCCACATTATCATTACATTACTCGCAAAAAATATATCTTTTGGTAAATATATCTCAGGTGTAAGTAATGGCAAACCAAAAACAAATGCAATATCTTGTGCGTGACAAACGTTTTTTGATTTGGTATCACAACCGGAAATGTTTGAATAGTATGGACTCGCATAAGTCAACTCATAGAAGTATACATTACGGCCAGTGGTAGACAACCGTTTGGCTACTTGTTTGACAAACTGATAGGTCGGACATTTCAATACTAGATCACCTAAAAACTCCCCCAAAGCCCTTTCAATGGCCGGTATACTTGTTTTGTTCACATTTTTCATATAGAAATCGTTTACATTATTGATATTCAAATTGTGAATCAATTCATTAAAGAAATTAGCAAACAATTTGAAGCTATCGTAAGTGATATTAACTCCAAGTTTTTCAAACGGTATTTGTCCCTCATCTTTAGTAATGCCACCAATTAAATCAATGTCTATATAATTATAATTATTTAAATAAATAAATATTAAATATTAATGTTTTTATGGCTTCAAACCTGAGTTAAATAAGTTGTGTTCAAATGCTTGACGTTGTGGTAAAAACTCGGTGCCAACCACTGGAAATGTTAAACCAAATGGAGCTAACATTTTAACCAAAAGGTTTGCATCAACTTTCCTCAAACATTGGATCCAATCATGAGTTAAACTACAATTAAAATTTGTGGCAATTTTCTTGGCATTATTTAATGCTTCAGTTTTGTTGAGCGGATCCCTGTCTTTGTTATACATATGCGCACCGCTTTGCATAATAGCTCTTTTGAATAGACCTTTAGATAGCGGTGACAGTATGTGTGCCGATACAGACCAACTACCGGCCGATTCACCAAATATAGTGATCTGATCCTTATCTCCACCAAACTTATGTATGTTATCTCTAACCCATTTCAGTGCTAATAGTTGATCATGAAAGCCAACATTTCCCGGAGTTGTTTTTGTTTAAATTTTTTCAATGATTTATGTTTTTCCACTCTAACAGTAATTTATATACAGATATTTAATAATTTATAAATGTCAAATATATTTATAATTTTAGTAAATAGATTAATTTTCTTTATATTCTAATAAATATTTATGTTATCAATTAGTACTTAATTGTACTAAATACTATATATTATAAAGTTTTTATTATAATAAAACAATTGTAAAAAAATAAGATTAATTCGTATTAAATATGAATTGATAATCTTTAAATGTCAACATAATTATTATTTATCATTTGATAAATTATTGTATTTTTTATGATCAATGTTTAATAAATTATATAAAAAGTTATAATTTTTTATGTAATAAATTTTTTTTAATTATTTAATAAACAATTATTATTGAAATTTTTTTATATTATTTATAACTTATATTTTTTTGTAATTTTTGTTTAAGAATTCTATAAAGATTTTAATTAAATAAAAATTTTCCCGGTAATTATATTTTTCAAAAATTATTGTACTGTAAATACACAATTATCTTAAAGTATTTAAATTATAACAACATTACCAAACATTATTATTAATCTATAATTTTTATTTTTTTAAATTAATTTTATCGTTTTTAATGATTAATGATTTAAAAAAAAATAAGTTCAAATAATAACAAATTAGTTTTTTACTAATGTTTTGTTTTTCTATAAAGTTTGGTTCAAATAAGTAAAATATTTGTCAAAATCTAATTTAGTGATAAAAAGTGATTTTTAAATAAATTTATTCAATATATTGTATAGTCTGTGAGTTTTAAAAAAATTTTATTTAAAGTCATATGAAATAATTTAGTATAAAAAATATGTTAAACATTCAAAAACACAATATAGACAACAAAATTAAGAATGTAATGATTATAATGATACAATAAAAAAATTAACATAAAAATGTTTGTAATAAATCCAAAATCAAATCAAATTAAACCATTTTTCATATTTAAAAAAAATCAAAATTAAATCTTCATTTTAATACTATTTAGTTACCGGAAAAATTAAAATATTAACCAATAAATTATCGTATACTAAATATACAAATTCAAGCAAAACATGCTAAACAAATATTATCATATAATTATAATATAAAATTGAATTATATTATAATTAGAAAAATAAAAAATTCCGGTAATAACTTATCATTAAAAAATGAATATTAAAATCAAAAAATGCAAAAATGTGGTATAAATACCGGTAATGAAAAAATGAAAAAATAAATAAATAGTATAATAAAATTATAACCACAAATTTAAACAATTATTATCATAATCAAAATTACAATTACCGCACTATACTTATAGTAATAATCTATTACAATATACCGATAATTATATATAAATGTATATATAAATAGAATAATTCAGATAAATTTATAACATTATTTATAATTTAAAATATATATATATAATCAAAATGCAATGATAAATGTATTAATAATCTAATAGTTTTCTAACTAAATAATCTCAATAAAACCGGTATATAATTTAGATATTACCGTAAATCAAACAATTGATTAATTGCGACAATATTTTGATCGGTGAGTTATTAGATCAGATCTGCGATAAAAATTTTTGCCACACATTTCGCATTGGTATGGAATGGGCTCCAAATGATCATTACGTCTGTGTCGTCTAAGAGTGGCCGCACACATGTAGACGCGCGGACAGTCTTCATCGGTACACTTATAGCGCTTACGGAAACCGTGTTTCTCCTCAATGTGTCGGACAATGTCGACTTCATTTGCATAGAATAGTGGACACCATTGACATTGATAATGGCTATACTTTTTGTGGTTTCTCAGCTTAACATACGATGCAAATCGTTGGTTACAAAAATCGTAATCACATTTAAATGGCAGTTCGTTTGCTTCGTCTATATGTTGGTCGTAGTCTTCACCAGTATTAGCCAACATTGCTTTTGTATCGTCTGTTTTGGCGGTCAAAAACTTTTGGCGATCAAGATTTTGAGAAAAATTGATTAATAATTGTGCGCCCAAATAGATGGATGACATTGACTGTCGACGATCAAGGGTTTCGGTAATATTAGTAGAGAATGTATTAGCCATTTCCGATGATAAGTCGGTATTATTGACTTCGGTATCATTAATACCCGAATCGGACACACCTGAATCAGTAATACCTGAATCGGACGCACCAGAATCAGAAATACCCGAATCGGAAGCACTTGAATCAGTAATACCCGAATCGGACGCACTTGAATCAGTAATACCCGAATCGGACGCACCTGAATCAGTAATACCCGTATCGGAAGCACCTGAATCAGTAATACCCGAATCGGACGCACCTGAATCAGTAATACCCGAATCGGACGCACCTGAATCAGTAATACCCGTATCGGAAGCACCTGAATCAGTAATACCCGTATCGGAAGCACCTGAATCAGTAATACCCGAATCGGACGCACCTGAATCAGTATTACCCGAATCGGAACTTGCGATCTCATTACTACTACTACTATCATTCATAATGTTATAATCCATTGCCACCAATAATGGCATTTCTGGCTCTTGTTCATCAATATGAAGTGCTTCACTGTTCATAGGCTGTGATGGACTTGTAATCGTTTGCTGCGGCGGTGATGGTGTTGGTGATGGTGTTGGTGTTGGTGTTGGTGTTGGTGTTGGTGTTTGTGTTGGTACCGCAGTATTGTCTACTGGTTGTGATTCTATCCTATTTAGTGATGATGTGCTGAAACGGGATAACAATTAATACAAATGTCAAATAACAACAAATAATAAGATATACTTACAGTGGCGGCAGTGATGGCAATGATTGGTTGTCATCGTTATCATTGCTGATCGTCGACGTTATCGTTGTCACCAAACGGCCAGTACTGGTCGTAGTAGTGCTGCTAACAGAACGATTGGATGTACTGTTAGAACCAACCGATTGGCGGCGGCGGCGACTATCAGTCAAGTCCGTATCGCTGTCATTGTCGTCATCGCTGTCCACTATAGTGACGACTACATCTTTGTTGTTATTGCAATAGACATCGAGATTTTGACGGTCAATCATTGAATTCAAAATCAACTGTTGATCGCCGCCGCCGCCAATTCTACTGCCGAAGTCATAACCGGGAAATTCACGTTTGATTTCCTCTTTAATTTCCCGTTTAATTTCTTGTTTGATTTCCCGTTTGATAAACGGCTTGAAGTCCATCGGTTTAGCGGTCAGTTTGGGCCGAACGTCAATTTGTTCCAACGGACGGATAACATCGGTAATCAACGAGTTGTCCCTCAACTGGGCGTCACTAATAAACAGGTCCACATCTTCGGCAAAAATAGGATTTTCGGCGGCCAAACATCGCTTCAATTGAAGGACAGTTGTCACGTGAGCTGGTATTGGAAACCGATAGTTAGGCAGCGGTCGGATGGACTTCAATGAAACGATTATACATTTCATTGCCGACAATGATGTGGTCATTGATGTCGAAGATAGTGAAGACATTGTCTCTCACTTATCATATGATAATCAATTCAATCAATTGATTGTATGAATGAATGAATGACTAATAAATTGATTAAACAATGAAATAAAATGTTTTATTTTTTTGTAGACATTTATTATGCAAATTACGTACAAAAGTTTTTTTTGTGACAAAAGTTTTTAACAAATTATATGTCAATTATTGTATAGTTTTTTTTGTATTGTGAACCACAATAAAAACCAATTAATTTAAATAAATAAATAATTGTAAATATATTTTTTCAAAATATTAATAATTATAATTTTTTTTTAAAAAAAAGACTCATAAAAAATATTAATTATTTTTTTTGTATGTGCTATTAATATTTTTATATAAAAATAATTAGTTAATAATTATAAAAAATTATTATAAATAACTGTCAAAATATACTGTAATGTTATTTATGTTTTAAAAATTATGTTTTCTTTGTTTGTTTGAATGATTAATTGAAAACTATTATTAAACTATATTATAGTTTACTGTATTATACAGTAGTATACATTGCAATAGTCATTGAAAGTTCAAGTTATTAGTCAATCATTTAAATAAACTTATTTTTGATTACAAATTACTGTATAATATATTATACTGTATTTCATATAATTTTATATAAATTAGTAGACATTAGAGCTCTGAAATTAAATTTATTATTAGTAACTAAACCGAAACCGAAATCTAATTTATGCGCAAAATTCAATTTTACCGGACTTTACTATACTATTAATATACCGTATTATACACTTAATTAGCATTGAAAAGTTACTTAAAATAAAAATTATTTATATGAAAAATCTTAGGGGGGCTAAACTGGCTTACTCCCTACCTACCTCCCCTTCCAAATAAAAAACGCAACCCTGGATAAGTTATATTTCAAAAATAATTATTGTTAACTTTTAGTGTAGTAATAAATAATCAATAGCTATCAATTTATTTATTAAAAACATATTAATAAATTATTTATATATCATATATGAGCTCACATATTTATTATACAGTATATATATATTAGTAAATCTATAAATAATTTTACAAATTAAAATATTTTGTTTTATTATTACATTTTATAAAAAAATAAATAATCAAGGTTATTAAGTACATTTAGTTTATCAATTATACAATGATTTCTATTCAAACTAATCAATATATAATAAATGTAAAATAAATCTCAAAATTTCTAAATAAACTGATAGTAAAGTCAAATAAGTCAGATTAAAACTGGTGAACAAATAACTATTGAGCACAGGTAGTCAATGTAGTGTCTGTCCTCATATCGCACTCAACAAAGTTATTATCGTTGAACAGCTTTTCAATTATTATTAATATATAATTTATATAAGAAATAAATATTAAAAAAATCTCTTTTTTATATAAAATACATTAGTTATCAAAAATAAGAAATGTAATTATTAATAATGAAGACCTATATAATTACAAATTATTTTTAAATATTACAGTATATTATTATTATTATAAAATAGTAAATATTATTTAAAAATGAATATAAAGTTATTGTTAATATTTTTAAATACTTTAATATTAAATTTATTTACTGCCGATTGCATTGATGTCAACACAACATCCGGTGTTGTTAGAGGACAGACATTACAAGTCAAGAATCTGATATTAGATGTAATAGTCGATGAATTTTTGGGTATACCGTATGCCATACCACCCATCGGTAATCTAAGATTTGCAAAACCACAACCTATTACAACAAAATTTAAAGTATATTTTGTTCAATAATTTATAACATTATAAGTTATTTATTTAATTATAAAATCATAATAATTATAAATTTTTAGGATATCATTGATGCAACAAAACCTAAGTCATGGTGTATGCAATTGATAACATCAGTGCATACTATGAATGAACAAAAAGATTTAAATGAAAATTGTTTGTATTTAAACATATGGTCTCCTAAACTAAACACCAACACCACTAACAACAACACAAATAAATTAAAACCAGTCATGTTTTGGATACATGGAGGAGGTCTTACTGTTGGATCAATTTTTCAAAACGAGTTCAATGGTACAGCACTGGCCTCTAATGATGTAGTGGTGGTCACTACTAGTTATAGACTCGGAATATTTGGTTATTTATTTGGTGATCGAGAGGACGCTCCGGGAAATACCGGCTTTTATGACCAGTTATTAGCATTGAAATGGGTTAGAGATAACATACATAAGTTTGGTGGAGATAAGGACCAGATCACTATATTTGGTGAATCGGCCGGTAGTTGGTCTGTATCGGCACACATACTGTCACCGCTATCTAAAGGTCTATTCAAAAGAGCAATTATGCAAAGCGGTGCGCATATGTATAACAAGGACAGGGATCCGCTCAACAAAACTGAAGCCTTAAATAATGCCAAAAAGTTGGCCAAAATTTTTAATTGTAGTTTAACTGATGATTGGATACAATGTTTGAGAGAAGTTGATGCAAACATTTTGGTGAAACTATTGCCGCTTTTTGATGTAACTTATCCAGTGATTGGCACTCAGTTTTTACCTCTTATTGCACGTCAAGCATTTGAACACAACTTATTTAATACAGGTTTTTTGAGTTTTACATCAAAAAAAATTATTTAAATTATTAATAAATATTGTATTAATTATTGATAGACATTGATCTGATTGGTGGCATTACTAAAGATGAGGGACAAATGAATTTTGATTCATTAGGACTTAATATTACTTACGATAGATTCAAATTGAATGTTAAGATAATGGATAATATGTTTCACAATTTAAATGTCGATAATATAACCGATTTTTATCTGAAAAATGTTAACAAAACGAGTCAACCGGCTGTTCGTCGAGCGTTTGGAGAGTTTGTCGGCGATCTCTTTCTCAAGTGTCCGACCTATCATTTTAGCAAACAAGTAGCCAAACGGTTGTCCACTACTGGTCGTAATGTATACTTTTATGAGTTGACTTATGGAAGTCCATACTTTTCAAACGTCACCGGTTGTGATACCAAATCAAAAAATGTCTGCCATTCCTTAGACATTGCATTTGTATTTGGTTTGCCATTACTTACACCTGAACTATATTTACCAAAAGATATATTTTTTGCGAGTGAAGTGATGAAAATGTGGACAACTTTTGCTAAGACTGGGTATAATTAAGACATTAATTAATAATTTTTAAAACTTTATAATTTTCTTTTTAATTATTAGTACTATAGATAACAATTGGCCCAAACTGTGGACTGATAGCACACCTAATGTATGGCATATCCGTGATTTAAATCCCAATAATATGACCAAAACATTTGACCATCTTTTTGATCAAACATGTGATGGCATTTGGAAAAACTATTTTAATTAATTTTTACATTTTATAATCAAAATATGTTTTTAATATTTTAGGACAAATAAAATAATAAAAAATTGCAAAAATTACTTTTAATAATAATACAACTATTATGTTATTAGAAAATAATAATAGCATTACAGTTAATAAAAATTGATAAATTCCACTAATTATTATCTTTTTAGTGCAATAATATCAAAAGTATTTTAGTTATCTTTAAAGTAAAATATTTTTTTAGCATTTTCTACAACTACTTATAGTAGATTAAAATACTTGAAGTAATTTTACTTAAATCATAAAAATATAAATTTATAATATTTGAAATTAATAATATGATTCTGCAAAAAGTTTTCATTATTATATTTTTATTAAAAATTAATCAATTTTTGGTCGATTGCATTGAAATCAACACTACATCAGGTATTATTAGAGGACAGACATTACATGTCAAAAATCTGGTATTAGACGTAACTGTTAATCAATATCTGGGTATACCGTATGCCATACCACCCATCGGTAGTCTAAGGTTTGCAAAATCACAACCTATTAAAACTCAATATAAGGTATATTAGAAACTCTAAAAAAAAAGTTTTTAAAATGTAAATTAAAGTATATTTGTTAGGATGTTATCGATGCGACACAATTCAAGAGCTCATGCATTCAAAAACCATTTGATAATCTTTATACTCGTAATCTAACATTAAGTGAAAACTGTTTGTATCTAAACATATGGTCTCCAAAGCAAAACACCTTAAATGAGTTGAAAACAGTTATGTTTTGGATACACGGCGGGGGTTTTGATTACGGATCCATTTTTGTACCCGAATTTAATGGCACAGCACTGGCATCTAATGATGTAGTAGTGGTCACAGTTAACTATAGACTTAATATAATGGGCTTTTTGTTTGGTGATCGTGTTGACGCTCCGGGAAATGTTGGTCTCTATGATCAACTATTAGCATTGAAATGGGTTAGAGATAACATATATAAGTTTGGTGGAGATAAAGATCAAATAACTATTTTTGGTGAATCAGCCGGCAGTTGGTCAGTGTCAGCACATATACTGTCACCGCTATCTAAAGGCCTATTCAAGAGAGCTATTATGCAAAGCTGTGCGCATATGTATAACAAAGACAGGGATCCGGTAAACAAAACCGAAGGACTAAATTTTGCAACAAAATTGGCCAAAAATTTTAATTGTAGTATAAATGATGATTGGCTACAATGTTTGCAAAAAGTTAACGCAACAGAGTTGGTCAACAAAATGTTTGCCATCAGAGATATAACAGTTACTTATCCAGTGGTTGGCACCGAGTTTTTACCACTCACTGCACGTCAAGCATTTGAACACAACTTATTTAATTCAGGTATTCATACAATCTATTTATATGATATTGTGTCGCTATGCGCCACTACATATCAACAATGGCGCCCACAGGTGCGCAATGCGCTTAACAGCACCTGTAGCTGATATACAGCACTCAGTATGCGCTGAGACTAGTATGCGAATAGTCGTATAATTTGAATAATAAAAATTGTTTTTTGCTTAACACGTGTTTTATCTATAAATACTTTACCGCCGATTCCCCGATATTTGAGTTGACCACCTCTCGCTATGCGATAGTCAACTCAATTGGCGCAGTCGCCGAGATCGAATTTACGCTAAAATCCACCGATTTTAATACCCCGTTTTAACCGCTTTTACGACTAATCGTTTGAATGAAAAATTCAACGGTTTTTTAGACGCCTTTATTTTAACGACTTTTTTTAACCGACATTTGCGACGATTTCAAGAGCTTATTAAGAAGCGAAAAGACCGAAGAAGGTACCGATATGTCTCTCCGATCCGGTAATACTTATAGGGCAACCCTGCCGCCCACCGACGCCGAAGATATTACCGAAGATATTCCCGAAGATAATGCAGAAGCCATAACGACATTAGCCGATGATATCGAAGCGATAACTCAAGGTATAACCGCCGACATGGATCTCAATGAGTTGGCCGAACGAATGGCCACATTGACTACCGCTGCCCGCGCCGCTGCGGCAGCCCGCGAACAAGCCATTCAAGATGGACGCGACGCCAGACGGTTGGTGAAAGCGAATACAACTGCGAAGAATCGTTTAGAAATTACCGAAAAACGTGTCGATAAGCAACAATGTGCGCCTCATATCGCTAAGACATCTTCGAAAATGTGCGAATCGTTTAGTGGCGATAAATCGATAGTACCGATAGACGAATGGATCGACGGATTCAATTCATTAGTTTACGATTTTACCGATAGCGAGAAACTGACGTCATTGGCCAAACACGTAACCGGCGAGGCATACAGTTGGTACTGCCGCGAGGTCGCCCGTAAACGACCAGACATCACGTGGGACACGTGTCGAACGAAAATGATCGCCCGTTTCGGCCGTATGGTAGGCCACGGGATTGTAGAAGCATCTGACCGACGACTCCGAGGAAACGAAAGCGTATTGTCATATTATACGGATATGCGTCGACTTCTGGATGAAGCCGAAGCTACGGACAAACAAGCAGTCGGGCTACTCACGAAGGGTATGCCCGACTGGTACAAACCACATCTGGCTGCCCAGAAGCCGAAGACTCCCGAAGATTGGTTTGGGATCGCCGTAGCGATTGAAGAAACACGAAAAAGACTTCGATATCCCGGAGTCCATGCGATGGAAGACAGCGACGAAAAGGGAAACAGATTCGATTGGAAGAACAAACGAAACGGTGGAGACAAACCTAATCTTCCGTGTCCTCGATGTAAGCGATTTGGAGCCACCGAATACCACTGGATGCGCCTCTGCCACCGTCCAGACACTAGACAACCGTCTACTCCTCGACCCGTATCTGGAACTGCTTCAACACCGGCTGTTAACGCTATAGTAGTTAATGACAATCGATATTACGGTGTGTGGATAAACGATAAACAGGTGAATGCGTTTATGGACCACGGCTCGGAATTGACGGTCCTTTCAAAGAAAATTTCCGATAATTTGCGATTACGGCCCGACGGAAGAGGTATTAAAGTGAAAACGGTGGCCGGTTTCAAGACAACACTCGGTGAGGTCCGTGTCGACATCACTCTTGACGGTCGAACGGAAAGAGTGTCTATGCAAGTGATGGACGACATCTCGTATGATGCTATCGTTGGCATCGATATCGCCGATATGGAGACGAAAGTGCGATTAAAAGATCAACGAAAGGTCGACAGTTATGCTATCAAAGTCATTAAAGAAGTATCGATGGCTTTGATGACCGTAGTTGGTGCTGTTGAAGAACCGACGGATCCGTTGCTCAATGATTACGATGTTTTTGCTCGACACGACAAGGATGTCGGTCGCGTTCGGAACGTTAAACACGTCATACGATTGAAAGCCGATGCCGTTCCTATAGTTCAACGCCATTTCCGAGTATCTGCCGAACGGGAAAAGCTGATGAGAAAGGAGACCGACGGTCTGTTAGCCAAAGGGCTCATCCGACCATCGCGTTCTCCCTGGGCATCACCACTATTCCTGATTGGTAAAAAAGACGGTAGCTATCGAAGTGTAATTGATTACCGAAAAGTCAACGCTCAAACCGTCAGTGAACGCACACCACTACCGATAATACGTGATTTGATCGACAAATTGGCCGGATCAACGGTATTCACCACCTTAGATGTAGCGCACGGCTACTGGCAAATACCGATTGCCGAAGAATCAATGGAAGTGACCGCCTTTGTGACCCCGTACGGCCAATTCGAATGGACAGTTCTCGCGATGGGACTTACCAACGCATGTTCGGTGTTTCAACGAGAGATACGTAAAATACTTAACGAATTGGTCGGCAATGGTGTCGAGTGTTATCTGGACGACATTCTAGTCCACTCCCGCGATAAGGAAAGTCATCGCCATCTGCTCCGAAAAGTTTTCGAAAGATTAGTCAACGAAGGAATTCGATTGCGTCGAGAAAAATGTCGATTTTTTGCCGAATCTGTCGAATTCCTGGGACACGTAGTTTCCGCTGCTAGTGTGCAGCCGTCGTCTAAGAAAGTAAAGGCTGTACGTGAGTTCCCTACACCGAAGTCAACGAAACAAATACAAGAATTCGTAGGACTCGTGAATTTTTATCGTCAGTTTGTCGAAGGTTTCTCTAAGATAGCCAAACCACTCATCGATTTGACCAGAAAAGACGTTTCGTTTGGTTGGACTGACCTACAGCAACGCGCCTTCGATGGGCTTAAAAATGCGCTTTGCGCTGCACCGGTACTCCGTATATATGATCCGAAGTTACCGATGATTCTACAGACGGACGGTTCAACTGTTGGTTTAGAAGACGTACTGTCACAGCGTGAAACCGATGGTACCGTAAAACCGATAGCGTATTGGTCACAAAAGTTGAACGACGCCGAAACCTGATACTCTTCCGCCGAATTGGAATGCCTAGCCGTTGTCCGATCAGTCGAACATTTCAACATATATTTAGATGGCGTCCACTTCGATATATACTCTGATTGCGCGGCCTTAAAGTGGTTGTTTGGTGTGGCCAACCCATCAAGCCGTTTGTTCCGGTGGTCAGTACGACTGGGCGTATATAACTATACCGTTCATCATCGCCCGGGCAAAGAAAATCTGACCGCTGACGCGTTCTCCCGAAATCCCATAGTGATGGCCATCGAATTGGACCGATTCGCCGCTAAACAACACGAGATAAAAGCGTATAATATTCGTAAACCGAAAATAATCGATGGACTCGTAAACGTTACCTATCGTGGTGTCACCAAACTGGTCGTCCCCTCCTCGATGGTTAACGATGTCTTAATCGAGTTCCACGATGGTTTAAATCATCCCGGAATCGCTAAAACGTTGAAGGCGATATCGTCTAAACATTGGTGGCCGACGATAGGTACTGATGTCGCCGCATATGTCCGAAGTTGTCACCCGTGCCAGTTGGTTAAGCCGCCGAATGAGACGACACACGGTACTAGTCGTCCTATACCGACACCCGACAAACCGAATCAGCTCTGGTCGTTAGATACTATCGTAATTGGATCCGCCGCAAGAAGTACCGCCGCTCAGTATATAATCGTTTTGGTCGATAACCATTCGCGATATACTTGGGCTGCGGCTGTTAAACGCAATTCGACCGAAGCCGCCATTAATCTAATAAGTCGACTGTTCGATAGCGTTGGTCGACCGAAGGCAATATTAAGCGATAATGGTTCGTCATTTACGGCTAAACGTTTTCGTAATTATCTACACGAACGTGGGGTTCGGCACCTCCTCACGCCTCCCTATCATCCGCAAGGAAACGGTGTGGTCGAAAAAACTAACGATGCGATCGCTAAAGGTATGCGGATGGCGTTAATCGATCGGCCGACAGTCCGTTGGTCGACAGTATTGGCCGATGTATTGATCGCCCATAACGATCAAATTTATGGTATAACGGGATACCCGCCAAGATATCTACATTTTGGTATCGTTGCCGATGGACACGCCGTCCCGCTAGTAGGACTAGAAGAAGCCCGAAGACTGGGTACCGAACGATCCAGGCGTTCACAAGATCTACGAAAAGAAAGACACGATGAAAGACATCAGCGATCAGATCTACGCGTTGGTGATATAGTTAAGTACCGTTTGCCCGGCAATCACCCGTCGTGTAATAAATTGACGCCTTATTATGTCGGCCCGTGCCGTATATCTGACCAAATCGGACCCGAAACCTACCGTATAGACCAACTAGACGTGAAAGACGGGACAATCGTTAAAACTTTGGTATCGCATTCCTCGAACTTATTGCGGTATAACTTACGAAAAGATTGCGTATTCATCGATAAACCCGACGGTAACATCCAAAACACGACACGTGAACCGATAGTCGTCCCTAAGATTGACATTATTCGCGTGACTCGAGATAACGGAAAATACGAAGAAAACGACTACAATTTCACGAAAACACCGATGTCTATCACAGCCGATGAGTTTGGATATATCCCGTATCGCCGGTCCTGTCCGGTGGCGAGTGTGTCGCTATGCGCCACTACATATCAACAATGGCGCCCACAGGTGCGCAATGCGCTTAACAGCACCTGTAGCTGATATACAGCACTCAGTATGCGCTGAGACTAGTATGCGAATAGTCGTATAATTTGAATAATAAAAATTGTTTTTTGCTTAACACGTGTTTTATCTATAATTACTTTACCGCCGATTCCCCGATATTTGAGTTGACCACCTCTCGCTATGCGATAGTCAACTCAATATACTTATAATTAAAATCTATTATTAATCTAATTTACTGTAATTTTTGTTTAAACAAATATAGACATTGATCTAATGGCTGGTATTAACAAATATGAGGGACAGTATAATTTTGATGAGATGGGCATTCATATCACTTATGAAACATTTGCAAATAATATAAAACTATTTGATCGTGAAGTACATAATTTGAATACAACTGAGATAACAGAGTTTTATCTGAAATCAGTTAACAAATCGAGTCGACCGGAAGTCAGGCACGCATTCGGCGAGTTTATGGGCGATCTCTTAATCAAATGTCCAACCTTTCAATTTGCCAAACAAGTGGCCAAACCATTGTCCAACACTAGCCGTAATGTATACTTCTATGAACTTTCATACGTCAGTCAGTACTTCGCGGATCTATTAAAATGTGATACAAAATCCAAGTATGTCTGTCATGCCATGGATTTGACATTTGTTTTTGGTTTGCCATTACTTACACCTGAGATATATTTACCAAAAGATATATTTTTTGCTAATAATATAATGAAAATGTGGACAAATTTTGCTAAGACTGGGTATAATTAAGACAGTAATAAATAAATATTTAAAAAAAATTATTTATTTTTTTCTGTTTGATTATTAGTACTATTGATAACAATTGGCCAAAACTATGGAATGATAGCACACCTAATGTATGGCATATTCATGATTTGAATTCAAATAATGAGACCAAAACTTTTGATCATCTTTTTGACAAAACATGCGATGAATTTTGGAAAAACTATTTTATTTAAATAATTGAATTATTTATTACTTAAATGCAATGCAAAATCATTTATAGGCAAATTAAAGTAAATAATATTTTTAAATATAATATTAACTTAATTAATAAAGATAAATATTGAAATAATAAAAAATATGAAATGTTTTGAAACAGCTGTTATCTAACAATATCTATTAATAATTACTTTTGAATGAGATAAGATAAGTAAACTTATTAATTGTTAAACTACTTGTAAATAAATATTAAGTTTTATTTTATTAATTTTTTTATAGTTATTAGTTTCTTAATACTCATAAATAGTTAGTTGCTTTTAAAAAAATGTATTATTATAATTTAAATCTAACTTTTCCATTATTAATATTATTTTATGTTTTGATAAATTCATGTGTTATTAATTGTATTGATGTCAATACTACATCAGGTGTTGTGAGAGGACAGACAATTCACGCTAAAAACTCAGTATTAGACACAATTGTTGACCAATTTTTGGGTATACCGTATGCCATACCACCCATCGGTAGTCTAAGATTTGCAAAACCACAACCTATTGAAACACCACATAAAGTAATGTTTTTATAATATTATTCTTATATTATATGTATTTAAATGTATTATATACTGTGTATTTAAGATAATTATTTTGAATTATAACATTTTAAGTATATAATCGATGCAACCAAACCTTCAAACTCATGTATGCAAATAACATATCCTAATCAGCAATTGATTGTTAGTGAAGACTGTTTATATCTAAACATATGGTCGACAAAACATAAAAACACAAATAAATTAAAACCAGTCATGTTTTGGATACACGGAGGCGGTCTCACAACGGGTTCAATATTTGAAAACTTTTATAATGGGACAGCACTGGCATCTAATGATGTTGTAGTTGTATCGACTAATTATAGACTCGGAGTATTGGGATACCTATTTGGTGATCGTAAAGACGCTCCGGGAAATGTAGGATTTTTTGACCAGTTATTGGCATTGAAATGGGTTAGAAATAACATACATAAGTTTGGTGGAGATAAGGATCTGATCACTATATTCGGTGAGTCGGCCGGTAGTTGGTCTGTATCAGCACACATACTGTCACCGCTATCTAAGGGTTTATTCAAAAGAGCTATTATGCAAAGCGGTGCGCATATGTATAACAAGGACAGGGATCCAATTAGTAAATCCGATGGCCTTAGTCTAGCAAAACAAATTGCATTAGATTTCAATTGTATTATAACTGAGACGTGTTATAATCACAATTGGATACAATGTTTGAGAAATGTTTCGGCAAAAGAGTTGATCAAAAAGGTGGCCCGTTTTGACCTAACCTATCCAGTGGTTGGCACCGAGTTTTTACCACTTACTGCACGTCAAGCATTTGAACACAACTTATTTAACTCAGGTTTTTTTTATTTGATTTTTACTACTTTATATAAAAATTTACAGTAATTGTAAATTAAATTATATATATATATATATATATATATATTTTTTTAACGATATTAAATATATATATATATATATACTGTAGATATTGATGTCATAGCCGGTATTACCAAAGATGAGGGACAATCCAATCCCGATGTCAGGGGACTTAATATTACTTACGATAGATTCAAATTAAATGTTAAAATAATTGATAATATTTTTCATAACATTGATATCGATAAAGTTTCTGAGTTTTATCTGAAAAATATCAACAAAACGAGTCAACCGGCAGTTAAGAGAGCGTTTGGCGAGTTTTTAGGTGATATACTCATGAAATGTCCGACCTATGAGTTTGCCAAACAAGTGGCCAAACGGTTGACCATCACTGGCCGTAATGTCTACTTTTATGACTTAACTTATGCGAGTCCATACTTTTCTGATTTGTTTCAATGCGATACCAAAACACATGAAGTTTGTCACTGTCAGGACTTGCCGTTTCCCTTTGGTCTACCACTACTCGAACCTGAGCTATACTCACCAACAGATATATTATTTTCCCGTAAAATAATGAAATTGTGGTCAGACTTTGCAAAGACTGGGTATTAAAATATTATTAAAATTTTTTTTACATAAATAAATAAAATTTGATTTTATAAAATAATTTATAGTAATGGAGACAATAATTGGCCCAAACTATGGAGTAATAATACACCAAATGTATGGCATATTCGTGATTTGAATCCTAATAATGTGACCAAAATTATTGATAATCTTTTTGATCAATCATGTGATGGCTTTTGGAAAAATTATTTTATTTAGTTTTAATATTAATATATTATAAAAAAATTAATAAACATTGTTATAAAATACATAAAAAAATAAATAAATATAACTATTGTCATTACAGTTGATTCAAAAAATGATAATAGTTATATTTATGGCTGTTCTTTACTATAGCTGCCACTTGTTGTTCACGCGATTAATATTTAATACAATATTAATGATAAATATACTAATGTCGCGTGAATTACAATTAATTTTTATTGTAAATAAATGTTAAATTAAAAAAATAAAATTTTCTACATAACAAATAAGTTATTAAATTAATTAGGTTAGGTTAAGTTAACATTTGTGTAATACCATTATAATTAGGTTAGGTTGCGGATCGAACACCAGGTTAGGTAACGGAGCAAACACTAATACATTAGGTTAGGTTATGTTAACATTTGTGTAATACCATTATAATTAGCTTAAGGTTGAGAGGCGAACACCAGGTTATGTAATGGGACAAACACTAATACTTTTTAATAATTTATAATACCATAATACCAATACAGACATAACTTTTAATACAGACATATAATAGAAAACATTCTCTAATTTAATGTATAATAAATTAATTGTATTTCACGCGACATTAGTATATTTATCGTTAAAATTGTATTAAATATTAATCGCGTGAACAACAAGTGGCAGCTATAGTAAAGAACCCCCATATTTATTTATTTTCTTGTGTATTTTATAACAATGTTTATTAATTTTTTATAATATACTAATATTAAAACTAAATAAAATAAATGAAATGTTTAAATACATTTGATATTACTGTATAAATATTACAAAAAAAAAAAAATAAAAAATATTATTACAGTTGATTCAAAAAATTATATTTGTTATTTTTATTTTTTGTAATATTAATACATTAATATCAAATGTATTTCAGCTATTTTAATTATTTGTGAAATAGTGAACCTTCCCTACCCATACCTTACCCATTTGCACAACCCTGATAAATATTGTTGATGTTTTCCATTACTATATAAACAACTATTAATTAAATTATTGAAAATTGATTAAAAAAACTAATCATTATGTAAAATATTTATATTAATAATTAATGATAAACAAAAATAATCAAGTAATTGGCAAAAAATATATTGATATAGTTTATAACTTTATGTTAAATAATAATTAATTTTATTAGAAATTATGATAGTTATAAAAAAATAAAAATCTGATAATTTTTAAAGAACGCTAAATAAATAAATAATTTCTATGCAAAAACATTTTGTTTTTAAATAATGTTAATAATAAAAATAAAATTTAGTAAATTTATCATCATTTTTCAACTTAATTAAAAATAATAATACTATAATATAATAATAATAAAATTAAATAATAATACAATTTATTTTGAAATTGTTTTTATATTTTATCTAAATATAATTTCAAGTATTTTATAATTTGTTTGCTTTTAGTACAGTATCGATATCTTTGAAAAACTTTACAGTACTTACAATTTATTATTGATTAAATTATTTAATTAAATTAAGCTACAAATATAATATTATTATTTTATAAATAATAAGTAATAAATACAAAACTAAGACAATGTATTATATTATGAACTTAAAACTTATTATATTTTTAATATTTTTAATAAAAATCAATGCAATTGCCATCAATTGCATTGATATCAACACCACATCGGGTGTCGTGAGAGGACAGACATTACACGTCAAAAATTTGGTATTAGATGTAACTGTTGATCAATATTTAGGTATACCGTATGCCATACCACCCATCAGTGATCTAAGATTTGCAAAACCATTGCCTATAAAAACACCACATAAAGTAATAAGTGATATAATTACTGTAATTTATTTATATAAAAATTACTAATAATTTTATTATTAAAATATTTATATTATAGGAAATAATAGATGCGACTAAACAACCGAAATCATGTATGCAATTGCCATCACTGTTAACGCCTCCGGATTTCATGAGTGAAGACTGTCTATATCTGAACATATGGTCTTCAAAACAAAACAACTTAAATGAATTAAAACCAGTTATGTTTTGGATCTATGGAGGAGGTCTCTCATCCGGTTCAATAAATATTCCTCTTTATAATGGGACAGCACTTGCATCTAATGATGTTGTGGTCGTAGCGACTAATTATAGACTCGGAATAATTGGATTTTTATTCGGTGATCGAAAGGACGCTCCGGGAAATGTAGGCTTTTTCGATCAATTACTGGCATTAAAATGGGTTAGAGATAACATACATAAGTTTGGTGGAGATAAAGATAAAATTACTATATTTGGTGAATCGGCCGGCAGTTGGTCGGTATCGGCACATATACTTTCACCGCTTTCTAAAGGTTTATTCAAAAGAGCTATTATGGAAAGTGGTGCCCATATGTATAATAAGGAAAGGGATCCGCTTAACAAAACTGAATCACTAAATAATGCCAAAAAGATTGCAAATAAATTTAATTGTACTAATGATTGGATACAATGTTTAAGAAATGTTGACTCAAAAGAGTTGGTTAAAATACTACCGGAGATGAGCTTAACATTTCCAGTGGTTGGCACCGAGTTTTTACCACTCACTGCACGTCAAGCATTTGAACACAACTTATTTAATTCAGGTATTATATTGGCATTTAAATATTTTTTTTATAAAATACATTATATGGTTTTAGATATTGATCTAATAGCTGGTATAACTAAAGATGAGGGACAGTCGTTTGTTTATAAACTTAATGTAACAATAGATACATTCAAATTTCATATTAATCAATATGAAAGTGTATTTCATAATCTCGATGCCGACGGTATAACTGAGTTTTATTTGAAAAATATCAATAAAACGAGTCAACCGGCAGTTAGACACGCATTCGGCGATTTTTTTGGCGATTTACTATTGAAATGTCCGACCTATTACTTTGCTAAACAAGTAGCCAAACGGTTATCCAACTCAACACGTAATGTCTACTTCTATGAGCTAACATATGCCAGTCCTTTCTTTTCGCAAGTTATTGGATGCGACACTAAATCCGGTGATATCTGTCACGCCATTGATGTAGACTTTGTTTTTGGTTTTCCATTACTTGAACCGGAGTTACATAAACCAAAAGACATATTTTTTGCTAATGAATTCACCAGAATATGGACTGACTTTTCAAAAACTGGGTATTAAAATCATTAATTTTATATTTCGTTATAAAACAAATATTTATATCAATATTATAGCCATTTAGATAACAATTGGCCCAAACTATGGACTAATAGCACACCTAATGTATGGCATATTTATAATTTGAATCCCAATAATATGACAAAAACTTTTGATCATCTAATGGATCAAACTTGTGATGGATTTTGGAAAAATTATTTTATTTAATTATAACAACTATACTGTATTTTTTCTAACTAATGTATTTAAAACTATAAAATAATATAATAAACGTATAATAATTTGTAGTATTTAGTAATATACTAGTGTTAAATTAAAATACAAATATTATGTTTTTCAATATACAGTTTGCAATTTCACATTTTATACAATTTCTTTGCATTCATTGCATTACGTCTACACAACTCTATCTATTCGCCCATTGATTCCAGGCCTCCTTTTTTGGATTTTATACTATGGTATATCATTATGCTATGTATACTATACATTACTACTAGTATATTACTAAATACTACAAATTATTATACGTTTATTATATTATTTTATAGTTTTAAATACATTAGTTAGAAAAAATACAGTATAGTTGTTATAATTAAATAAAATAATTTTTCCAAAATTTTAGCAAATTAGCAATCAACAATAGTAAAGTACAGTATAAAACAGTGTATAGTATACACTGTATACTATACATTGTGTAGTATACACTGTTTTATACTGTACAGTACTTTACTATGAATTTTTAGGGGTGGTATGGGAAGCAAACGGTCATCTCTCTCTCTCTCTCTCTCTCTCTCTCTCTCTCTCTCTCTTAATTATAGTCCATTGATTGGTTAGTATAAGGGGTAAAAATCTGTGGGGACTACTTCTTTTAGTATATTTAATTAATAATATTACAATTATATAGTATTATATTATTGATGGAATAAGTATAAATAAAAAAATATATTTTATATTTTTATATTATATTGTATAAAAAAGCAAATTATTTATCTTAATTATTATTAACACTTAAGTATTATTAGTGATAAAGTAATATAATAAATACATAATACATAATGTTAATAATAATTGATAATAAAAATATAGAACACTTAAAAAAAATAAAATACGTTTTCTAATGTAATTAGATTAATATATGTATTTAGTTTGGTAATGTATGTAATTTCAATAAAAAATTATATTATATTAAAAACTATTATTATAATATATACAGTATACTATGTATTTACGATAACTAATATATTTTTAATAATAGCATTTTAATGTATGGACCAAACCATAAAAATTATTTTCATTATAAAGAGTAGTACATTATAGTAATTAATGTAAATCAATATTATTAATTATTAATACTACAGTATATAAAAAACATTTAATAAATTATTAGACAAAAAAATCAATTGCAATTTTATAACTATATAAAACAGATTATAAAAGTAAGTTCTAATATTAATAATAATAAATAATATAAAATCATTATAAATAATCATTATAATTGACAATAATTATCTTGATATACTATTATAACAATATGTGCTTTTAATTAATTAAATAAAAACTAAAAGTATTTTTAAAACAAATCAAAATGAGCTAATTTTAAGATAAATTATTTCTATTTTTTTAAATATCAAAATTATTGTGAAATAAAAAATTATAATAATAAATACACTTAATTTGAAATTAAGTTTATCCAAAGTAAGTCAAATATTTGTTCAAGTATTGTATAATCTATTTGTTTTTTTTGTACTAAAATTGATAACTATATCTTTGATTAACTAAAAACTATTACCGGTAATACATTGAAAGTTTAAATAAACCTTTTATTAACTAATAAATTGCAAAATAATAATACAACAAACATATGAAATAAGTGAATATAAAATTAAAATAATGTATAATATTATTAATTTAAAGCTACTATTTGTTATAATTTTAATAAAAATAAATGCAATTGTCATTAATTGTGTTGATGTTAACACAACATCGGGTGTCGTAAGAGGAGAATCATTACACTTCAAAAATCTGGTTTTAGACGTAACTTTGGATCAATATTTGGGTATACCGTTTGCCATACCACCCATCGGTGATCTAAGATTTGCAAAACCATTGCCTATAAAAACGCCACATAAAGTAATAGTTATTTTATTTGCTAAATAAATAGTTGTTTTAAAAGAAAATCAAAAAAATAAAATTATAAAAATATTTATATTGTATTTAGGAAATTATTGATGCAACTAAACAACCGAAATCATGTATGCAATTGCCGTCACCGTTAGGCTCATTACCGGGTGTCGTCAATGAGGACTGTCTGTATCTAAACATATGGTCACCAAATCAAAACAACACAAATGTATTGAAACCAGTTATGTTTTGGATATATGGAGGCGGACTTACAATTGGTTCAATAGATACTGTCTTTTATAACGCAACAGCACTGGTATCTAATGATGTTGTGGTCGTAGCGACTAATTATAGACTCGGAGTATTCGGATTCCTATTCGGTGATCGAGAGGACGCTCCGGGAAATGTCGGCTTTTTTGATCAGTTGTTAGCATTGAAATGGGTTAGAGATAACATACATAAGTTTGGTGGAGATAAAGATAAAATAACTATATTTGGAGAATCAGCCGGCAGTTGGTCTGTATCGGCACATATACTTTCACCGCAATCTAAAGGTCTATTCAAGAGAGCTATTATGCAAAGCGGTGCGCATATGTATAACAAGGACAGGGATCCGATCAACAAATCAGAAGCACTGAATAATGCTAAAGAAATTGCTAAACATTTTAAATGTAATGTTAATAAAGAGGATTGGATACAATGTTTAAGACATGTTGACTCAAAAGAATTGGTTAATATGATACCACCGATGAACTTAACATATCCAGTGGTTGGCACCGAGTTTTTACCACTCACTGCACGTCAAGCATTTGAACACAACTTATTTAATTCAGGTTTTTTCAGTGCATTTAAATAATTTAATAATAAATAAAAACAATACTCTATTTGATTGAATTGTATTTGCTTTTAGATATTGATCTGATAGCTGGTCTAACCAAAGATGAAGGACAAGGATTTATAGATAAAATAAATGTAACGATCGATACATTTAAATCAAATATTAAACCATATGATAATGTATTTCACAATCTGAATGCCGACAGTATAACTGAATTTTATCTGAAAAATGTGAACAAAACGAGTCAACCGGCAGTTCAACACGCTTTCGGCGATTTTGTTGGCGATATACTAATAAAGTGTCCGACCTATCACTTTGCCAAACAAGTGGCCAAACAGTTGTCCAACACTACACGTAATGTCTACTTCTATGAGCTGACGTACGCCAATCTATTCATTTCCAGTCTTATCGGATGTAAATCAGGTGATGTTTGTCATGGTTTGGATTTAGATTTTGTGTTTGGTTTGCCATTACTTATACCTGAATATCATAAACCAAAAGATATATTTTTTGCACAACAAATAATGAAAATGTGGACAGACTTTGCAAAAACTGGGTATTAAAATAATAAAAATTTTATAATAAAGCCATACTTTTATTATAAATATTATTTTTTTTATTAGTCTTTTAGATAATAATTGGCCAAAACTATGGACTAATAGTACACCTAATGTCTGGCATATCCGTGATTTGAATCCCAATTATGATACCAAAACTTTTGATCATCTTTTTGATCAAACTTGCGATGGTTTTTGGAAAAATTATTTTTAAATTTATTAAACTCAACTATTTTTAATCAAACATGTAATGGCTTTTTGGAAAAATTATTTTTTAATAAATTTCTTAATATTCAATACAGTAATAATTTGTTACACAAAAATTATTAGCATAACATATATATCGTATAAAACTTAACTCGAAATAATAATGTTATTAATAACTGATTATTATGCAGTATAATAAACATTATAAAGAGTAAATAAATAATCTGCTATTATATTTCATTTTTATCTTTAATTAATGTATTTTACAGTACATGTACTATACTTTTATACATCTATTGTTTATATACTTTTAAGGAAATAATATTTGCTTTTGCAATACAATTCATAATAATTTGAATTTCATAGAGTATATGTAATTCAAATTACATTTATATGGATTCTATACTACTATTAATATATACAACTTAAGTAATATACGTGTTTATACAATATCCTGTGTATTATATAATTATTGCGATAATAAACATTTGATATGAATAATAATGTAAAATTAATATAATAATGTATTGATACTTTAATTAATATAAATTTATGTATTATATTCATTGATGTAATGCGTTTTTGTGATAATAAATATATTTATTGTAAATAATTGCAATTCAATTAGTAGTTTATTGTGAAAACTTAATTTAAGGTAAGCTTAAATCAACATTTAAAAAATAGCTATATAAATAACTAAACTAATATTTAATTATAACTATTATATTATTTTAATCAGAATATATTTTGTTAAAATATTTATGTTTCATATTAATTGAAAACATTTGTATAAACTAATCTATTTTTATAATTTGAAAATAAAATTAAACTACATATAACACAATAATTAAATATATTTATTATTTTAATTTTTGTAATATTTTAATAAATGTTTTTAAAAAATGTTTCATTAAAACAAACAAATTCATAAAAATTTATTTAATTACAATGTAATAATTCAATATATATAAAACATTTTTATAAAACAATATATACAGTATTTTATCAGATTTTTATTAATTAAAATGTTATATTTATTGACATTAAAATATTAACTAAATATTTTTAAATGTAATTAAAAAAATATGTAAATTAATTCCTATTAATTAAATTAATATTTATAATAAATTATTTGTTTAATAGTAGATTTAAAACACAATTACTAAGCTTTGAAACATTTTTTGACATTTAAATATATATATCAATTAAAAAAATTATATAATAGTCATTATAAAAGTTTAAATTAATTTATAAACAAAATTTTATTTTTCTCAATATTTAGTCTAATAAAAAATGCATTCAAATAACAACATTAGCGATGACCACATAATGTCGGCTGTTGTTGAACACCGATGTACTAGAAATCGGCAATCATTTGACCGCTTCTCTGATGAACTAATACAACAGCTATTATCCTATTTGCCATTTAAAGATAAGTTTCGCTACGAGTGTGTATCGAAACGGTTCCAAAAAGTGATTTACAACTCGACAACAGATCTCCGATTTGATGCCAAACTCGCCGACTCAATGGGTTTTGTTTTGTGCTACAATTGGTGGCCAGTGTTGGAGGCCATTGTCCGCAAGTGTCCTAATGTTCAGCGATTTGAGCTCAAAGACATCTTTTCAAGCGATTTTACCGATGATTACTTGTATCTGCTCCTCAAATACTGTCCAAAATTGATTGAAATTAGTTTTGATTTTCGGTACCCGCAAAACGTGGCCATCACTGAGACCGCGTTCCGACGTTTTTTCAATCTATTTGGTCAACAATTGCAGTCGTTTGAGACAAACAATTATTGTCTCCATTTCTTCGAGTGGCTCATCGAGACTGACCTAAACACTGTCACACAGTTTCGCAAACTTATCATTACCGGTGACGGTCTAACACAAAACCGATGTTTCATTGATTTGTCGGTCATATTTGACTATAACTGGTGCTGTATTTTACCCGAAACACTTCAATCAATTGCATTTCAAATTACTAATCAATCGGTACAATTGTTTCGGAAATTTGCCGACAATTTTGGTCAACAAATACGTGATTTTAGTGTAAGAATAACTGAACAATTTGAGAGAAGTAGTATACAGGGGGCTATATCTGGAATTTAATCCTTTAATCCTCTTAATCCGCTTAATCCGCTTAATCCTCTTAAGCCGGATTAATCCTCTTAAGCCGGATTAATCCTCTTAAGCCGGATTAATCCTTAAGTAGGATTAATCCACTAATCCTTTTTACTACAATGAAATAGTATTTTGTCACGTGACATGTATAGTAGTAGTGTATCACGTGATATAATAAAAATGCGCAAAATTTTAAAAATTAATTTTTTTTATTTTTAAAATATAAAATAATTTTTAATAAGAAAAATTATAAAAAACATTACAAACATTTTTATAAAAAATAATTAAATTATAAAACATTTTTTTGAAAAACAGTCTGAATACAAATTATTAAATAAATGAAAAAGTATATCTAAATCAAACTGATTTTTAACACCAGTTAATATTAATTTACCTTTATTAGTGATTGTTATTTTACCATAAGTATTAAAATCTATAATCATATGTGGAAATATTTCTGCCTCTAATGAAGGTACGGCAATGTTTTTATTAGCCAAATAATTTTTAAATATATATATATCAAACTTATTATTAATATGATGACTGGCGGCAATATTGGTTACAACAATATTGTGAAGTCTTACTTTATATCCGAGTTTTTGAATTTGTCGAGCGGTGATCCTTAATGCCTTACGTCCGTCTTCAATAGATTGAGCTCCAATACATATCATCTTTCCCGAGTCGTATATCATAACTGTAGACTTTGGTGATCTCAATCTCTTGACAACTCTAACAAAATGTTTATTTTGATGAATGCAGTTAATCAAATTATTTGCTACTTTTTTTAAATCAATGAATCCGATGATGGGAAATAAATCAGCAGTTAATGAAACATTTGTTATTTTTGCCATATTAGTCTACTTCGTCTATCCCTTCTTCTATTTCAATATCGTTTGCAAAACGGTCGAAACGTTGACTTGGATTAGTATCTAAAGATGTTTTTACTTTTTTGTTAATTGGTTCCAAGTCGGTGTTAGTGTTAGTAGATTGGATATTATTAGAGCATAGCTTATTCACTTGAGATAAAATAATATGCTTATAGTTGTTGATATGATTCACTTCATCAATGTTGAAAACAAATAAAGTGGTTTTACTTGGCGTCTCTTGATATACACAAATAATATCATAAAATTGTTGATAATATATTTTTGAAGACTTTGTTTTATATGTACCAGATTTATGGTATTTTATACAAATATTATTAACAAACCAGAGAAACTCTTTCACTTTAAAGCACAAACCATACGGTTGTAAAATAACACCACAATAATCTTTTATTTGAATAAACTTTTCATTGTTGTCTTTATATAAATTAGCAAATAAAGACAACTCGCGTATATAATCTCCTGAGCGAGAAATATAAAATAAATAATCTGATACTATTTTTAAAGACATGATTGTAAGGGTACAACTTAATCTTTGCTTCTATAAAGCTTATTGCTTACGCTTATTGCAATGTTTACTTAATAAAAACATTTCCGCTTATTATTTACTATAGACTTAATAGTGTGCTCTTATAAACAGTGCAATGATTTATGTTGACTCAATAATTAATGTTGACTCAATAATAGTAAAACCTGTTTATTGTTGATGCAATGCTATAAGGTACTTACACATAAATGTTGGGTATAGAAGTAGTAGATTATTGAAATAATATTTAGTTGTTATATTATTAGTAAGTTGTTTAGATAAACAAAATAAGATAAACAAAAATGACTTTTGTAGAAGTATATTTTAAAGTGATTGGGGATTATTTTCATGAAAAAACTAAAAATAATTTTGAATATTGTGTACGCGTAGTAGAATGTACTCGTAATGAAGTAAATTATTTATATGTTGATTTAAGAAAATCATATTTATCAGCAGATAAAAGAGTATATACTAAAGAAGGTGTTTGTCTCACAGCTGAAGAATTCAAAAATATCATAGAGTTATTAAAGTCTAAGTGTTATAGCGGTTTTACTCCGGAAGTTAAAAGACGAAATATAAAGTGTTTTGATCTACGGGATGGTGCTAAGTGTATTGTTGTTACAAAAAATGGAGAGTTTTTAAACGAGTCAAGAATTAATTTAAATGGTGATTATATTAAAAGCCTATTAACATTTAAAGATGAAATACTACAATCGTTGGAAAAGAATAATATTTAATGACGACATAAGATCTACGAATTTGGTGGATGATTGGAAAAATAACTATTTTTTTTATAAAATTAAATGTAACTAATTTACTTTATCATTATAAAAATAAAAGATTTTAAGCAATATAATGTGTATTTATTTATAATTATATCTATAAAATATTATTGTAAAGTATTTTTAAAAATACACCTAGTGCTTGATTCGAGTACTAATTAATGTATTTACGATTTGAGTGCTTACAGCACCATTAGTGTTCGATTCGAGTACTAATATATGTATTTACGATTAGAGTCCTTACAGCACCCCTAGTGTTCGATTCAAACATTAATTTGTGTTTTTGCGATTTGAGTGTTTACAGCACCCCTAGTGTTCGATTCGAACATTATTATATGTTTTTACGATTTGAGTGCTTATAGCGACACTAGTGTTCGATTCGAACATTAATTTGTGTTTTTGCGACTTGAGTGCTTACAGCACCCCTAGTGTTCGATTCGAACATTATTATATGTTTTTACGATTTGAGTGCTTACAACACATTCCAAACCAGGAACTCATTTGTTTATCTGGAATTTAATCCTTTAATCCTCTTAATCCGCTTAATCCGCTTAATCCTCTTAAGCCGGATTAATCCTCTTAAGCCGGATTAATCCTCTTAAGCCGGATTAATCCTTAAGTAGGATTAATCCACTAATCCTTTTTACTACAATGAAATAGTATTTTGTCACGTGACATGTATAGTAGTAGTGTATCACGTGATATAATAAAAATGCGCAAAATTTTAAA